GTTAAGTGCCATCAAGTCAGTTCAGACTTATAGCAAGTCTTTTTGTAGTTTCCTATACAGAGGAGGAGACTAGTTAAAGTAAATTGCATCACAACAGATTTGGTTTCCAGGTTTACTGCCTTAGCAAAGAACATCAAAGTTCACCTAAAAAGGATATTGTTATTGTTGTTAAGTGTGGTCGAGTCGATTCCGACCCAAAGCTACCCTGTATAGGGTTTCCAAGGAGCAGCTGGTGATCTTGAACCACCGACTTTGCAGTTCAAATGACTATGCAGTATGATGCCCACACTGCCCACCAGGACTCCATAAAGGACATTATTGGAAGATAAACATGTCTAGAGCTGCTCTTTATGTTTCTATTCGGAACAGCTAAATATACATAAAAGTAGAATGGGAGAAACTTTGAGAGCCCACCTTTCGGAAAATTGTTTCCAGGTCACAGGAACAGGCATAGTCTTGCAAATTTTCAATAAGTTTAATAATAAAAAGAGAGCCCAGCATTGGATGTCTCCAAGAAACATTATCTGTGAATAAAGCACAAAATCTCATTACAGATTCCATAGAAAGAAGCATAAGAGCTTCATTCTAGCTGAGGTAGTCTTTTGAATTCATACAGTTTTCTGTGCACCACATGCCATTTCTCAAGTAATATGTATATTCAAATTTCAGTGAGTATAGTTTTGGAATCCTGGTATGGCCCTGTAGAGTAAACACTGGACTGACAACCACCAGCTTGGGTGTTCAAGCCTTCAAGCCCATGTGTTGCTCCTCAGAAACTGCAAAAAGACTTGCTATAAGTCTGAACTGACTTGATGGCACTTTAACACCACCACCACCAACATGGTTTTGCTGACACTTCATCATGATTAAAGTTACTATATCTATGTTCCAGATGGTGAGGTAATATGATGTCTGCTTTCAAAGAGCCACAAATATAGTATTGAAGATGGAAGAGTAGAAGAGTGTACAGGGGAGTTTTGGGATCTTGAGGGCAATTCTTAAAGTGGACTTCAAGACTACTACTTACTGACTCTGATTTAAGCTACCAATATACTGTGAAAGTCAATATTTGAATTGAAAGTCAAACTTCAAAGCATGTGAAAGATGGACAATGAATAAGGAAGGAGGAAGTCCTGAGAAGAATTGATGCAATTGAATTACGGCATTGGAGAAGAATACTGAAAGTACTAAGGAGCTCTGGTAGCGTAGTGGTTACGAATTGGGCTGTGAACCTTAAGGTCAGAAGTTCGAAACTACCAGCTGTTCTATGGGATAAAGATGAGGTTTTCTGCTCCCATAAAGATTTGCAGCCATTGAAACCCTGTACAGGGCCGCTATGAGTCGGTTCTGACTCCACGGCACATAACCACCACCACCATGGACTATCAGAAGAGCAAACAAATCTGTGCTGAAAGAAGTACAGCTAGAATCCTCCTTAGAAGGGAGGATGATGAGACTTCATCTCTTGTACTTTGGACTTACATTAAAAGGACCAGTCCCTGGAAAAAGGACATCATGCTTGGTAAAATTGGAGGGTCATTGAAAAAGAGAAAGACCCCAACAAGATGGACTGACAACAACAATGGAGTCATACATAACAATTTTGAGGATGGCGCACGACCAGGCAGTGTTTCATTCTGTTGTGGTTCTGAGCCATTGAAAATACTATGCCTTGTGTCAACCACACCTTTGCCTTTAAACACTTTGAAGAGGTCTTTTGCAGAAAGTTTACCTAAAGCCATACCTTGTTTGTTTGCTTAACTGCTATTACATAAGAATAAATTGTGGATCCACACAAAATTAAGTCTTTGACAACTTCAGTCTTTACTCTGTTTATCATGATGAAGGAGTTTGTTGTTGTTGCAGTTATTAAGTATTGTGGAGTTGGGTCCAACTCATAGTGATCCTACATAGAGTTTCTAAGGAGCAGTTGGTGAGTTTGAATGCAGACCTTATGGTTCAAACTGCCCTTGAAGTCCAGAGCTTATCTTATAGTGCCACAAAAGAACTCCCTTCATGATGGTCAAGTTTACTAATTACTAAATCAGTGAAAATACATGTGTATTTGGTCTCTGTGAGTAAGGTGAATATTTAAGGTTAAATTGGTAGGAAATCTTGAGTTGGTCTTGAAATTTCCCATCAAAATTCAATTCTATAACCTAATGATGGGTATGAGTTTCTGTATTGGTAACCCCAATGGCAAGAATCTGGCCATTACCTGGTGTTGAAGAACAGAAAGCTATAAAATCCTTCTCCACATGGGCTTTCTTAATGGCATCATCCTCACAATCTTTTGGATCCAGTGAACAGCTATCTGAAGATATTTCTGCTGAATCATTTAACCACACCATTCCTTGGTTTTCTGGCAAGACAAAATTAAGTTTTATGCTATTAACAACTGCCAAAAGGCAAACTTTATCCCCTAAACTTCTTTTCAAACATATGGATTACTTCATTTGTTTCTATTTTTCATCCACATGGATATATACACATACATTTCAGGATAATAATTTCAGCAACTCCTATTGTTATTTTCTCTCCCCCTCAAAGAAATTCTAACAATATCCAAATATTAAAATCACAGAGCTAAAAGTAATATTAGTTGAAAATAGAACAAAAATCTACCAGTGAGTCATACAAGTCACAAAAGCTACAAACTTCTTTGGTGATGGCACACATTCTTTGTCATTAAGGAGCAGACATGAGAAAAGTAAAAATTACTGGATGTACACAGATGATGAGGTTAGTACTTGGATGCTTCAAGCTCTATTAGATCACAGTACTCACCACCACGGCAGGCCTGGATTATGATCACCTTGGGTTTATCCTTCAGTTTTGGACAGTTACGGGTGTTCAGTATTTGAAAGATAGTGTTGACATCTAATATATCTCGGACATTCTCAGAGTACTTCTTCCCACAAACACCTTCTCGAATACCATGTGACATGAATACCAAGAAGGTACTGTCAGAGGTCTCATGTTCTTGACGGGCAGCAAATAACTTCAGTTCTGTTGTCATGTCCTGAAAGACACCATGCCATTGATTTTGCACTTTAAGATTCACTATCATGGCATTTGCCAATCAAACATAGGGACATCTAAAGGAAATGTATGCCTCAGTTCAGCAAAATGAGAAGAAACGAGTTATAGGAAATCACTCAAAGATTTCTAGTACAGGAAAAATGGGGCATTACTGAGCTAATAGAGCACTTGCCCAAAACAAAGTTCCACAATCTATTGCTATGAAAGTCTACATCAGAATGGAATTTGTAGCATTAAGTACCCTTAAAAGAGTAAGATACCTTCTAGAATATCACAAGATTAAGTTTGCTGGTTAAGGCCTAGCTTTATAAAGACTGTTTAGGAGTATGATGCATATGACCATTTGTCTAGAGTATGTGAGACTTTACCGAAGCAGTGAGATTTTCTCTGACAATCACACTGTATCCCAGTCCTTCCAGCAGCATCTTCATCCCTCTGATATCAACATCAGCACCAGTTCTCTTGGGAAGAGTATCAAAATCTGTGTTGCAGATAATGAGGGCAAGACGTGTGCGGGTTGACTTTTCTTTTATTGGGTAAATCTGCGGAAAATACAGATTGGATGCACTTTACTGATGAAACTCTAAATTAAAAGATAGCTTTGAGAGTCTGAGGTAGTTTCTTTTCTCTTAATCTTATCCATATTACAAATATCATAAACCATAAGTAAAAATGGGGCAGAGTAATGAATCAGGTAACATGAGTGGAGATGGCTTTTGCAAATGCCTAAATAACAGCAGAGAATCAGACTAAATATTTTTTAAAGGTAAGGCTTGGTGAAGCCAGAATTGATGAATAGTACAAATGATTCTTCCAAATACTCAATATTTGTCTCTAGGCAAAATACTTTACTATTCATATTTCAGTTTTCTAGTAACTAGTATAAGTTACTTAAGCATTTGTTGTTGTTGTTGTTGTTAGGTGCCACTGAGGTGATACTTACTAATAGCAACCATATGCACAATAGAACGAAACACTGCCCAGTTCTAGGTCAACCTCATAATTGTTGCCACACTTCAGTACATTGATGCTGCCATTTTGCCAATCCATCTCACTGGGGGTCTTCCTTTTTTTCTCTCACCCTCCAACTTACCAAACTTGACATCCTTCCCTAGCGACTGGTCCCTCCTGACAATATGTCCAAAGTATGAGACACGTACTTTGGCCGTCCTGATCTCCTAGGAGAATTCTGGCTGCACTTCTTCCAACACAGATCTGTCGTTTCTTTCGGCAGCCCATGGTTCAATATTCTCTTCCAACATAAAAACTCAAAAGTTATCAATTCATCTACGGTCTTCCTTATCCACTGTCCAGTTTTCACATGTATTTGAGGTTATTCAAAATACCATAGCTTGGGTCAGGTTAACCTCAGTCCTCAAGTTGATATCTTTGCTCTTCAACATTTTAAAAAGGTCTTGTGCAGCAGATTTTCCTAATAAAATACCTCATTTGATTTCTTGACTGCTGCTTCCTTCCATGAGCACTGATAGTTGATCCAAGAAGAATAAAGTCCTTGACAACTTTAATCTTTTCTCCATTGATGAAAATGTTGTTTATTGGTCCAGTGGTGATGATTTTTGTTGTCTTTACATTGAGATGCAATTCATACTGAAGGCTGTGCTCTTTGATCTTCATCAGTAAATGTTTTAAGTCCGCTTCACTTTCAGCAAGCAAGGTTGTATCATCTGAATATCGAAGGTAAGTAATGAGTCTTCCTCCAATCCTGATGCCACGTTTGTTTCATATAACCCAGCTTCTTGGATTATTTGCTCAGCATACAGGTTGGATATGTATGGTAATAGAATACAACACTGCCACACACCTCTCTTAATTTTAATGCATTCAGTGTTCCCATGTTCTGTTTCAACAACTGCCTCTTGGTTCATGTACAGATTCCTTGTGAGTACAATTAAGTGTTCTGGAATATTCATACTTTGCAATGTTGTCCATAGCTTGTCATGATCCACACAATTGAAAGACTTTGCATAGTCAGTAAAGCATGTTGTTATGTGCTGTGGAGTCTGTTTTGACTCATAGAGACCCTGTACAGGGTTTCCGAGGCTGTAAACCTTTACGGGAGCAGAAAGCATCATCTTTCTCCTGCAGATCAGCTGGTAGTTTTGAACTGCTGACCCTGGAGTTAGCAGTCCAATTCGTAACCACTACATTACCAGAGTTCCTTTCAGTAAAGCATAGGTAAACACTTTTCTGGTATTTTCTGCTTTTAGCCAAGATCCATCAGACATCAGCAATGATATCCCTCATTCCACGTCCTCTTCTGTATCCAGCTTGAACCTCTGGATGGTCTCTTTCAATGTATGTTTGCAGCCATTTCTATATTACCTTAGAAAAACTTTACTCAAATGGAATACCAAAGACATTGTCTGATGATTTCCGCAATCTGTTGGGTCACCTCTCTTTGGAATGGGCACAAATATGTATCTCTTCCAATCAGTTGGCCAGATAGTTGCCTTCCAAATTCTTGGCATAGATAATTAAGTGTCTCCAGTGCCTCCTCACTTTCTTGAAAGATTTCAATTTGTATTCCAACAATTCCTGCTGCCTTGTTCTTTGATTTCCTTCAGTGAATGTTGGACTTCTTCCTTCAGTATCATTGGCTCTTGATCATATTCTACCTCTTGAAATTAGTCCAACATTAACCATTTCCTTTTTGTGGAGTGACTCTGTATATTCCTTCCATTTTCTTTTGATGGTTTCTGCATCATTCAGTAATTTACCCAGAGAATCCTTCAATAATGAAAGTCAAGGCTTGGATTTTTTCCTTCAATTCCCCCAGCTTGAGAAATGCTGAGCGTGTTCATCCCTGGTGATTTTCTGACTCCAGATCTTTGCACATTTCATTGTAATATTTGACTTTGTGTTCTTGAGCTGACTTTGAAATTTTATGTTCAGCTCGTGTACCCCTCATTTCTTCAATTTGTTAGCATCTCAACACTGAAGAGCAAGTTTCAGTGTCTCTTCTGACATCCATTTTCATCTTTTCCTTCTTTCTTGTCTTCTTAATGACATTTTGCTCTCTTCCTGTGTGATATTCTGGATGTCATCCAACAACTCTTCTGGTCTTCAGACTTTAGTAATTAATGTATTGAATCTGTTCTTCAGATGATCTCTAAATTCAGGTGGGATATATTGAAGGTCATATTTTGGCTTTTGTGGACTTGTTTTCATTTTCTTAAGAGTCAGTCTGAATTTGCATATGAGCAATTGATGGTCTGTTCCACAGTTTGCCCCTGACCTTGTTCTGGTTGAAGATATGGAGCTTTTCCACCTTCTCTTCCCATAGATGTAGTCAATTTGATTTGTGTGTATTCCATTTGGTGAGTTCCAGTGTATAATCATCTCATATGCTGTTTAATGATGGTATTTATGAACAAATCATTGATTTTGCAGAAAATTATCATGCAATTTCCAGCATCATTTCTATCACCAAGGCCATATTTTCCAAACACTAATCCTTCATTTTTTTCCCCAACCTTTGCATTCTAATCATCAGTAATGATCAATGCATCTTGATTGCATGTTTGATCAATTTCAGATTGAAGAAATTGGTAGAATTCTATTTCATCCTAACTGGCTTTAGTGGTTGGTGCATAGATTTCAATAATAGTAGTGTTAACTGATTTTCCCTGTTGTTGTTGTTAGGTGCCATCAAGTTGGTACTGACCCATGGCGACCTTATGTACAGCAGAATGAAACACT